TGGCTTTACAGTGGAGAAATCCGACCTTAGCCAGGTGTTCAAGGTTAACCTCAACATCAGTAGTTTTTTCCATAGTATGTGCCCTGGATATGTTTGCATGAAAATGGCACTTTACCTCCGTGATCTTCCTTCCTAAAAACTCATAATCCTGGTCTAATAATGAGAAAGCCATCAGACAAATTCCAGTGAAAGGACATTCTACAAAGTACCCAAGCAGTATTCTTCAACACCATCACCCCAAACAAGGAAAACCTGAACAACTGTCGCATGGAGCAAGAGCCCAAGGAGACACAAGTAAATGTAATGTGGTATGCTGGATGGGGTCCTGGAAAATAACATGGGAAAAGACTGAAGAGATCTTAATAAACTATGGCATCGTATTCATCCATGTTAATATCCAGATTAATTCATTACTTGGGTGTGGTGGTGCATGCCCATGATCCCAGCACTTGGGAGGCTGAGGCAGGAGGGTTGCCATGAGTTTGAGGCCAGCCTGGGCTAAATAATGAACTCAACATTAAATCATTAAATGTGACACACATACCACTCAGTGTAAGACATAGCAGTAGGAGAAACTGTGTGTGAGGCAGGTTGAGATTGCTGTACCAGCTTTACAAGAATTACACAACTTAGACCCAGCATGTTCCCTCACAGGTGAGATTGTTACCAGTCATCCAAACAAGTCATTCACTCCCTTTCTCTCACGGCTCCCTTGTATCACAAGTTTTGATAGCCAGGTCTCAATTCAAATGTCACCTCCTTGTGACCCTTCATCTGACTTCCTCCGAGTCACTCTGTTTTGTCTTTTATTTTCTTCATAGTATACACTACTCTCTGCAATCTTCTCCTTATACAGTGTCTCTTCAACCTAGACTATAAGCTCCAGTGAGACTAGGAGCCTTATCTTGTCCCCTCTTGTGTCCCCAGTGCTTACAGGAATGTCTGGCACATACTAGGGGCACAGTTGATACCTGTTGAGTGAAGAAATGAATCAACAAGCCCAATCCTGGGCTGGGGATTTAGCTCAGCAGCACAGCGCCTGCCTGGCAAGCACGAGGTCGTGAGTTCGATTCCGGGTACTGGAAAAAAAAAAAAAAAAACAAAAACAAGCCCAATCCTGTGGCTGTGTGCCCAGTGCTAGCAACAGAGGGGACCGAAAGCCAGTACTGAACGCTGTCAAGAGGCCCAGGCCAGGCCAGGCCTCACTCTGCTCTGTGCAGGAGGTCTGTCCAGATCCAAAGCCAGCTGGGAAATGGAGAATGGTTCCTCCAAAATCTCCCAACAGGATGGTGGCTCAGCATCTGAGCCAGGCCTGTCTGGTGAAGAACTTTTCAGTCTGCACTGTGTTGCCACATGCACCCAGATGTCTCACCTTGCAAGACAACT